ACATACTTTATTATCTCGTTTTTGTTTAAGAAAATAAAATTTAACTTACAACTACTGAAGCGAACCCCTCAAACCCATGGGCTGAGAAAGATGAGATCTCAAGATTTCTTTTACAATTCCAAGAGAAAAGGTCCACCTGTCTGAACGCGGGTTTGTTGTTTCGTCTTCTTTGATAGATTAAGGAATTGGAGAGTACATATAAGGAGTTAGGCGAAGCATCATTGAGCCAGGAGTTTTGCCAAGCACTCGCAACCAGTTTTAGGTGGAATCCCTTTCTGGAAAATCATTATGTAGCCTTAATTGAATCAAAATTGTCTCTTTTCTTTTTTTTGATTACTATTATGTGCTTTAGATAACAAGTTTTGTGAACATTTAGTCTTTTTCTTCTCTGTATTTCTCTGTATTTATCAGTTTTGCTGCGAGTCGTGCTGCGAGACCTGCCATTCCTTGGCAACAGGTTGTTTTCTTGAGTCTCCTCCAAACTTTATTATTTGTTTGTTTGAATCCCTTCATAACTCTTGTCTTGTTCTTATTTTCTTATAGGTGCAAAGTTGGTTCCTGGATAAGCTGAAAGGCTCACGAACTAAAGTCCAACCGTCTTCATCTAAGGCCCTTAGTTTCTTTGTTAATCTTTCTCGTGAAATTTTTCCAAGCATTGAACCTGAGACTTCACAAAAGCCTAAAGGTTTTGTATCAGCATGAGTAGAATTGCTGTGAAATTAAGATTTTTGAAATTATGTTATGTTGAATCATTTATCTGTGTGTTTTGAACTTTAGGCTTGATAATCTGCATAATAATTATTGGAAAATGTTGTTTGAGGTTTATTGATCGTGTAGAACTAAACTTAGGTTGCTAGTTACCCACAAGTTTAACCCAAGAGTGTCACTTGTTGAGTTAGAGTTTGTTGTACTTGCAATAGTGGAATTGCATTCAAGAAATAAGAAAAAGAAACAGTTATATAATTGGGACATCATCAAAATCTGAACGAGGAATTATAACATAGAGCATAATGTAAGCCATTCTAATTCGGTTTTGTAGCTATGGAAAAACAGGATAAGCTGGCGCCAGGATCTCATTCTTGTCAATGACCATAACCTGTCATTCATTTTGAATCAATCATGATTTTTGGATACAGCACATACTTGCCAAGTGCAATGACGTCGACTGGCAGCCTTGTTGATATAGTTTATCTCAGCCTTTTTTTAGGAGCAATAACAAGTTTACTGGAGGCTCTTGGATGCCTACTGTTGATTTTTTATGATTGAGAAAATGAGGGATAAAGCCTAATAGTCTTTTCCTTTAGTTATATTCTATAAATAAGAATGCTGAAGTATATGAAAACTGGTGACGTGATGCAGATTAGTTACTTTTGAGTATTATAACTCGCTTTGAGATGTCTTTTTTGGTTACTTTCAATCTACATCTATATTCTTTTTTCCCTCTTTTCCTGCTGCTGTAATGTTAATTATTAACTTCCCATGTAAGGCTTTAGATCAGTAATACCTGTTTTTCCTTCTCTACTCAGCAAAATCTGAATGCAGTTTATGATGACAAAATATAATCCGATATTTTTTTCCCTCATTTTAAAGATGAATTAAATGCTTATGCTGTATACATATCAGGCCATCCTATGGAAATTAATAATGATAGCTGACCATCTGATTTTGTCATTCAGTCTCAGTAAAAGTATTGCCATAGATGCAAAACTATAAACAGAACTATAACTTGATTTCTGATATCAATTATTATGCAGGTAACCGGATCTCAGAACTAAAGGAATGCCAATTTGAAGCTAAATCAGCAAAAGACGCTGCATGGTAAGAATGTATCTAGTAACATGGGATCGCAGAAGTTTGTGTTAAATTGCTATATTTGCTTCTTGCATGTACAGAAACCGTATTATGATTTATTGTAGAATGTTTGAAATGCTTTTTTGGTGTAACGTCCAGGTACGATGTTGCTTCGTTCCTCACCTACAGGGTTACATATGCTGGTGATCTAGTAAGAATCATTTACAATGAATTTATGTTTCTTAAGGATCAACGTGGCATTTCTTAAACAAGTGCCTTGCTTATGAGATCTTTTAAAATGAACCAGCGAATTGTTTCTCAAGCTTTGGTGATTATTTCTAATGCTTTCCTTGTTTCGACATTACTATTTTGCAATTGAACTCGACATTTTGGATCTTGGTTTTTTCAAACTAAAGCTATCTAATCTCTGATCAGTGCGTAAACTCATTTCAACCTGCAACAATACGGCTTAGACTAGTTCAATCAAGTACACATTGTCCAGTGAAACATTGAGCTTACTATATCTTTCATTAAAGAGAGAGATTTGTTCATTATTTAAACCTACAATAAATTACTAAATAGTGCATATATTCATAGGAAGTACGTGTACGATTTTCTGGGTTTGGCAATGCGGAAGATGAATGGGTGAATGTAAAAGAGGGTGTTCGTGAGCGATCTATTCCGTTAGAACCATCAGAGTGTCATGAGGTCAACGTTGGAGATCTTGTACTGTGCTACCAGGTATTCCATTTTCTTTAGAAAAATAAGAAGGAAGTAACATGCAACTATCAATTACGCGTTTTGGACTATGCACTTTGAAAAGCGTATAGAGGGTTGTTGCTGTGTTGACTATCATTTGCTTATTCTTTAATTATTGTTGCGATTCAACTATCCATGGTGCATTACTTGCAGTTCATATATAGAAATGAAACCCATTTGTATGCTATGTGAGGTTGTTGCCTTGGGAAGTATGGAAGAAACAGAATGGAGAAGAGACATACCCTTAAACTAAGTTTGTTTGTTTTTCTCTCTCTCTCTCTCTTTAATGGCGGATTACAGGAAAGAGAACATCAAGCAGTCTACTGTGATGCCTACGTTGTAGAAATCCAGAGGCAGTTACATCATGATAATAATGATATAGAAGCCTGCCGGTGCATCTTTTTGGTTCGTTACAGGCATGACTACACCGAGGTTATTTAACAAAACTATCTCCTTCCTCTTGTCAGTTTGTCTGCATATGTATGTATGTACGTATACGAGTATTGCATACGAAACTACACGTGGTAACTCAAGTCATGCTGTATTGTTTTAAACCTTTATGTTATGTAGAAATTAAATCAATCTCGTCTGATATTTCATCTGACATGTTTGTACCAGGAAGCTGTTGATTTGGGGAGGCTGTGTCGCAGGCCTAAACATTAAAATGTGAGGCAACCTTTCATATTCAAGCGGTTTGCATTAGGGTGAAAAGTGAAGATCAACTTTTCCCCTTAGGGTGTATTTGGTTTAGGGAATGTTAGATTATTAAGAATATTGGATTACAGGAAAGTTAGATTACCTTGAAGATTACTGAGAATCCTTAAGAAAATGTGTTTGTTTAGTTTGAATAAATTGGTGGGTATGTTATATTAATATGCTTAGTTAGGAGGAATAAATTGATAGGTATATTATTTAAATTATTAAATTACCCTCTTTTTAAATATTAATATAATATTATTTATATTATTAATTTTTGAATAATTTTTTTTAATCCTCAACATTTTAGATTTAGTTAAAACGTCCCTGCTTATATAAAATTTTAATTTATAACAAAATCACCCCTACCACTCCAAGCCACTACCTGCCACTGTTAGTCATCGTTGGAAATCACTGTGAGTAGTCGAGAGAGATCGTGAGGCTTCGATATGGTCGTTTTTTGTCAGATTTACTCTGATATAGCTGTTTTCAGTCATCAAAATGGCTAGAAACGGTCATATCGAAGTCGCCCAGTGATGGTGAGCTACTCACAGTGATTTCCAGCTTCTTTTGGTGACTTTTGGCAACAGCTGGCGATGGTTTGGCTAGCGGTAGATGGGTGGGGGTGATGGCTTAGGTGGGCTGTAATTTGTTTTGAATTCAAGAGTAATTTTGTCCAAAAAATTAATTGATTGGGCTAACATAGTAAAAGTTAGATTCATGTAAATTAATTTAAAAATTAGAGTATTATTGTCCTAAAATTTTATTAATAAGGGATAAAATTGTAACAAAAATAAGATTATCTTGGTAATCTTACAATACCTAAGAAAATTGAAGTTATCAGATTACCTCTAATATTACAAACAGTAACTACAATTGGTATTAGAATATTACCAAAATCTTATATTACTTGATAACTAAACGTAATAATAAAGTAATATAAGATAATATAACCTTAGTAATCTCATATAACTCTCAATCAAACGCCATTTTAGTGTTAATAATTTAACTATTTTGTCATTTTGTGACTTGATTAACAACTAGAAGGTCTGTGGATGCGTTTTGGAAACTGTTTTCCCATGTTTATTTAAAAAACAAAGAACTGAATTTGTAAGTTGAAGTGATCATTTAGGGAATATCACTGTTTTAAAACCTAGTCTGACTCGACCAGTTCAATTGGGACTCAAAACCTTTACCAGGTGAGGCTATAAATTTAAATATTTATTTAAAATTCTTAGAAATTAGGACATCAATCCATGAATAATTAAAGATTAAGATGTTAAGGCTTTTAAAGAAAAATTGTCGGTGAGTATAATGGTGGCAACAACGTTGATTTCTAATGAGTGAATCGACTGAAAATCGCAAAACAATATCATCGAAAAAATCTTGCTATTATCGACGATTGAAAAGGCAAACGAGAGAAGGGTGATATAAGTTTTGGTCAAGAAGCCGAGAGGAATGTTTTTGTGGTGATGGAGAGTGTTGTCGTCCCTATTTGCCGACATCGACGATAATCTTTGGAGTGTTTTTACAAGATTTCAAACATATAAGAACTTACATGTAATTTTCAAGGGTGTTTTTGTTAGATTTCAAACTTTTGAACACCAATTTGACCTATCAATCTACCTGAGACCCGACCACTTTTTTGAATTTCACCCCGGGTTGGGTTTTAAAACATTGGGTTATATTTCATTATTGATTCGATAAAGTTACCAAATCAACACAAATATAGAATTACAAATCAAGAGCACAAATAATGATTAAAAGCCAACTTTTTGCATATTATGACCTACAAAAGTGCTTATTGTTCAAGACTATACAAAGCTAACAGACCCATAAAATTGGGACATTGGCCAAAGAGAAATTCCACCCGATTGACACAACATACAGTGTGACTAACCTGGCATCTATACCTTGATTAAAATCAATTAAATCTGTACTCATCAAAACCTCTCTAAGCCTTGAGCATGAAACTTAAGAAATTTCTTGCTTTCCAGTGGCTACCTAAGGTGGTGTTGAGAACAAGGATTCTCACTAGTTACAATGCTGTCAGGAGTGGCACCAAATAATAATGTACACCTCATGAAACTGTTCGTCCGTAGCAGACGGATGCAATATAAAGATTCTTAGCCCATTTTTCCTGCAAAAGCAGTTAAAACTTTCAGACCTGGAGATTATATTGAAAACAGTAACAGATGAAATGCAATACATGATCAAAATAGATGATAAACCTTGACATGTGCACTAGGAAAAGCTGAAGTTCGAAGCGTTTCTTGGGTTTCATCTGCAGGTTTTCTCCTTGGCACGCTAAGAACAAAAGCAGCCTGGTCCCAAGTTGCTGCAGTAGCTGTGATACGGTATCCAGAATCCCACCGCCGATGAATACCTTCGCTTGGGTAAAGAAAATCAAGTTCAACAACCTGAAATAAATGCAGAACATCAGTAAGTTACAGGTGCTTCTACCATATTAAACATTGGCATGCAACATCGGTAATTCCAAAATGACCTGGTCAGAAAATCCTGCACCGCGAGACATGACCACTCCCCATCTACTGCCAGAGGTGGCCATAGCAGTGACATAGAAACCCTCTCTCCATTTTTTATTGATCCACTTAAAAGGAAATGAATCGCTGACTTTGTAAGATTGCTGCAAATACTGTGTCCCTGCACACAATATATAATTTATAGTCAATTACAATGAATTTAAAAACTCAAATGCATACAGAACCAAGAAGTAAACTATCTTAGACTAACCCTTTGACATGACTACCAAGGAGCTTCCATTTGTAGCTCCAGCTATTGCACTGATGTAATAGTTCTTTTCCCACTGCTCCATTATCCATTCCTGCACAGACAGCCAAACAACAAATTAGTTACTATTATCCTAAAAAAACCTATTTTACACGATAGTAAATTTTATTAAGGGATACAACAGTGTGACAGTACAGAAGAGCAGACAACAAATTGATAAATAAAAAAGAGCATGTACCTTATGAAGAAAAAAGGGCGAGAGTTCATAGACTTGTGCACTGAAACCAGTGCCAGCGTCCATAATAAGGGCCCACAGATTTTGACATGAAGCTACACTGCTAATAAACAATCCATCCTCATTCCCTTTCTCAATGTGCTGCGCAAGCCTTGCATCTGCCACATTATAGTGATACCTACAATGGCAAGAAAAAGCAAAATTCTCATCATAATGATTCAAACTATTTGATCATTCTTAATTAAATTTAGGAAATAATGCAGACACTAAAAATGAAGGACACAAATTGCAATAGACAGGAAAAACTATAAACTCAGTAAAGCCTTAACCATTCCAATGAACAACAGACCCAAAAAGCAAAAAGAACTGATAATATCATTAAACCAACCCTAGCCAAATCTGCGAAGCAGCTAACAAATGACATGAAGCATGATTATACCTTTGCTTCATCGGTCGACGAGCGTTATAAACACTAATCCATTGTGTAGCTGGCATTCCCATCCGAATCTTCTTCTTCGGTTGTTCATCATCTTCATCCTCCATTGTTAGCCGACCTCTCTTATGACCAACTTGATAAAGCTTCACAAGTTTAGAAGTACAAGTTAGGTACACCAAAATCTTTCATCATTCAAATTCAGTATATCTAACGATACCTTCAATGGCAAAACCACAATAACTACAAGATAAATAAACATAACCAATACCTTCTGTGCACCTTCTGTGTTAATTGGCCTGATATCTGGATTTGGACCAACAATCCCATCAAAGAGGGAAATGTATTTTGTGTAATTAGGTTCTTCATCAAACTTCAAGTTCACAACATACTCAACGAACTGTCTAAAAGGCTGTGGACAGAAGCAACATAGAGCCTCTGGAGACGTTGCCATTTTTTTCTTGCAAACAAGGAATCCTTTATTCTCTCCCTACAAAAATAATAATGTTAAAATGTTACATGCAAGATCAAGCACAAACATCTATCCTTTCTCATTCCTTTTTTATATCCCCACAAAATACAAATTCCTACAAAAGATAAGAAGGACTACTGACCTGGTATCCTTGCCAAGGCAAACGACCTCGAAGAAGGAAAATGAGTGTGTAAGCAAGTGATTCTAGATCATCTCTCCTACTCCCAGTTCTACCTAAATGGGCATGTACGCTAGCATAACGCACAGTTCCTCTGCCAGACAGGAATAACCCTTTAAATTAAGAGAATAAAAATACCAGAAATAAAAAAAATTTCAAACCAACCATGACAAAATTATGGTCATACCTGAAAACATCTGGCCGTTGATCATATTCAACATGCAATCCAGTTGAACTATCTCGCCATTTAGTAGCTGATTGCCAAAATCAGGTCATAAATCTATGACTTACAAAACATTTTTGCAAAAAGAGTGCTTAACATAAGAAACAAAGTGATAAACAGTTTACCTAATCCAAGGTCAACAAGAAATAATCTCTTCTCATCAGTTGTTCCTGGAGGACCAAGCAGAAAATTTTCAGGCTTTACATCTCCATGCACATACCTGCCACAAATTGCGGTGAGCCTAATATGAGAATCCTATATTTTATGGTTTTGGTCATACAGATAACCATAGGAGTGTTTCATATACGTCACTAACTATGCAGACCAATGCACTCCGCCTCACAGAAAAATAAAATAAACAGTGGAACCTATGGGTATGAGTGGTGACAAGAAGTAAAAGACATGGTTAGTAACACAAGAAACCTTACCCTCTGGAGTGCATCTTCTCCAATATGGATATTGCTTCAATGGCAATGCAGGCAACCATTTCAATGGACATCCTGTCATTAACAACAGTATTAAATTAAGCAACCAAGAAACGAGATGACATAGTACTTTAACAGGGAAAAGCTAAATGAATATGCATCAATTTTGAGAGAACTTACGTATGTGAGTTATTATTCCAAACATCCCACAAGCTTGGTCCCAGCATATCCATGACCTGCAACAATTAAGGTTTTTCATAAATCCTTGTACAGACAAGCTGAGGCAGATTAAAAAAAAAAAAAAAAAAATCAAAACAGAGTTCAAAAGATAACATACCATGACATAATAATCACCTTGCCGGCCCTTGAAGTGTACTCGAGGGACACCATGACTACCACCAAGGGTGCTGTTAAAGTCACAAAAAAGGTTAACAGTCTATAAAAAATAGAAAACCAACAATCATAATAAAACATAAGCAAATATTACTATACTCACTTGTATACTTGCCACTCATATGGCGGTCCATAGTTGCATCCTTTACTACTTCTGTGTTCAAATTTCAACGCAACCTAGAATGCAGAGATCATTCAATGAATAAGTAGGTACAACACGAAAGATAAAAAACAAAATTCACAGAATAAAAAATCAGATACTAAATGCTATACCTCCACAGCTCCTGGGCCGGTAGATCTATCATTTGTATTTACAGGAGACACACGACGACCAACATATACTTGCCCAAAACCACCCTTGCCCAGCTTTCGGTCCAGTCTATACATTGGGGAACCCCCAACTGAAATCTGTGAGAACCAAGAATTAAATTCATTTTTCGGAGATACAAGAGAAAAAGAAAATGTCATGGTACTATTACAATAAGAGACTACATTTATCCAAATATAATTCAATTGACAAAATTATATATAAAGCTTCACAACTGCCTTACAACTGGTCTTTAACTCCATATAGAATAAACTACACAATTCCCAATCAAATGTCAAACCAAAACCCGTGCTGATCAAAATATTGGAAGGAAGAGGGAAAATAATAAACTAAGAAAGCCTTATTGCCGGATAAAAAAATAATACAGAGAAATTTTTTGAGCTTTAACTAAGCACCCTATTCAACATGAGAAACCTCATTTTCATAGAGAGGTCAACAAGGCTAATTAGGTCATTTCATACAAAAAATATGTTAACTCAATCAATAAATTAGTGGAGACCAAGTCAGCCTATAAATATGAACAACAACTCATGACATTCTTAATATGAATACTGCAATGCCTGCGGTATAACACTGACAAAAAACAACTTTTAAGTGCCACAATTACTTTATTGTCATTATTGATGATTAAATTCTCGAAATTCACTTAAATTCAGGCCATCTTAGAAAGCAACAAGAGAAGACAAATACACAGGCGAAACACGAGAAAAGCGCCATGCCACAAGGCGACCAAATTGAAAAAAGTCAAGTTTATAAATGAATATCATAAACCGTTTTGTGAACCATTGATGTCCTATAAATTAGGTCAGACCAAGTAGTTATAAGCTACAGGAACGAAAAAAAAAAAAAAAAAAAAAATACCTTCAAATAGCAGGACGACATCTAACTACAGAAATACATATTAGTTATGGCAGTTTAGAATATTGCATATTCTGGGTATATCAAGATAGCATATATTCTCAGTGCATCAAGATAGTGTCCACATTAAATATATGACGAAAGATCCTCATTTTATACCAAATAAGTTAACATAACGTACATAAAACTAACACGTGCAAACCATCTCACACTGCAATCACAACCAAATCTAACTTTCCCCCAATAACAGCCTTTGTTTAATTAAAATTACTCCGTCCTCAAAACCAACACTCAAAACACTAATTACTCCCCGTCCCAAACTTGACTTTAAAACTGGTACATCATACACTAACATAAATCAAACCCATCAACAAATTCAATTCATAAACCAATCCAAACAACCACCGTACATCTGATACTCTAAAAAAAAAAAATCAAATTTATAACAAAAAGGCCTAAAAACCAAAAATTATTTAAGAAAAAAAGAAAAGAAAAGAAGAGAAAGAAATTGTTACTTTTTCAGGAAGAGGCGCCGTGCTTCCCTCATCTTCGCCCCCCGCCACGGCCTTATCGTTACTTCGACCACCACTGTCAAACTCATCCATATTCTTCTCCCCAACTTCCTCCTCTGCTTTCTCCACCTCTTTCACCTCCGCTACCACCACTACTTTCTCATCAACCTTAACCTTCTCCTTATTGTTATTATTACTCTTCGGCACTCCAACCGGCAATGGCACTGCCGCCGCCGCAGCCGCGCGTCTCCGCCTCGTTCGTGTCGCAATCGCCTCTCCCGATCCCTCGACTATATTCCTATTCCCCTCCCGCCGATCCTCCGCCGTCTCTTCCGCCTTCGCTGCTGCTGCTGCTCGGCCTCTGCGCACTCCGCTACGCAGCACCGGCATCGTTCATCCTTCAATTATTCTCATCACAATTTAAAAAGAACCTAACAACACTAATCTTCCCTCACAATCACTCGCAACAACGAAAAAGATTCTTAATTTCAGCAAGATTTCTAACGGTGAATCAGCCAGATGTTTCAATTTTGGATTTTGATCGCAAATTTGAAGACTTTGATTGTCACTCTGTGACGAAATTAGGGTTTTGAAATTTGGGGATCTATTAAGGAAGAATCTAATGGAAGAGAGAGTGTGGAGAGAGCAGAAGAATACTTTTCAATGAAGAGAAGTAAGAAAATTTTATTTATAATTTTTTGTGTTTTCAGAAATTTAAATTATAGCGTGGAACGATCTGGAACGTTAATTGGGACAAGATGGACGGTGATGGGAATTTTTATAAATTGATATGAATTTACGAAAAATGAAGGGTGTGAAATTACTAAAAGGGGGTTTGAGTTGTACTTGCGCTGACAGAAAGGACAAAGCCACGAAGCGGTGACACAAAGTAGAAAGTAAAATAACTGTGATACTTTGATAGATGATGGTGCATGGAACTTGTTGTGAGGTTGCGTGAATCTAACCCGTTGGATAAGGGAATGTACACAAATTCTCAAGTGCAGACATCCGAACAAAAAATAATATCATTTTAGTGTATTGATTTTTTGGTCTACATAAAAATAATCAAAATATGTTGACGCTTTATGGTTTCATTGACTAATATATAAAATTTGTCTAGTGTGAACTTCCTATGGTACCATACAAACTAGAAACCCGTCGTTGACTTTACAAAATGCAAAAATTAAAGGCAATCAACTTGACAAAAACCTTTGATTTGTACATTAAAACTTTATATAATATGTATAATGTTGGTGACTTTGAGTGTCGTGAGCGAATGAACTACGGGTAGGGGTGAGCAAATTTTTAAGGTAAGACTGGAATCAACGGGTACTTGAGATATCGGTTTCAATTCCAAATTTGGTGGAACTGGCACTAAGTGAGCCCAGGTTCGGTTTCACCGTTTTAGGAATTGAACTCGGAACCGAGGTCCAAGTATCCGAGGTGGAACCAATGGGTATCTGATGCATATTTGTAATTTCTGTATACAATTGGGAGTGTATTTGTAATTTTTATAGGTTATATTTGTAATTTTTGCGAACATGAGGGGTATATTTGTAATTTTGTGTGAACAATGTCCGATACCCCGTCCTAGAACCGAAACATGTTCCAAGCATTTAGGAATGAAAACCGACTGAGTCCAGTTCTAGTTCCTAAATTCTAGGAACCATCAAGTCTAGTTCTGATTCCTAAATCCTAGGCACTGTTGGGTCTGGATCCAGTTCTAAGGAATTGGGTCGAGTACTAGGACCTGCTCACTCCTATAAACTAGAGTGTACCAAAATGTATAAGCTTGCATGTTTTCAAGAGTATCTTTGTATAAGAATGTTGGCATACATATATAATGGTAAGTGAATGTATGAAAAAACTTTATAAATTGGATTTATACCTTTAAAGGAAGAATGGATGCAGTTATGGATTGGGCGAAAATGCGTAAACCTTGGTAAGGGAAGGGGTTACTAAGTAGAACCTAAGATTAAGCCCATAAAAGCATTAGTTTACTTTTGACTTTTAAGAATTGACAAGAGAATAGAATTAGGATTAGGATTCCTAATTCTCTTGTTTACTTATTAGAATTGAGTAAAGAATTGGAATCTCATGGATAATCTATTTCATAAAAGCATAGGTTAAGGATTCCACCAAATTCTTAAGATAGGGAATCCAGTGAATTTGTTGAGTCACGTGGGTTTATTTTAGGGGTGTTCAAAAGAACCGATTAGAACGGGAACCAACAGGTACCCGGGTTTTGGCTCCGGTTCCTACCCGAAACCGACCGTCAATGGGTAGGTTCTGATTCCAAATTTTTGGAACCATTACTGTGTAGTTTCAATTCCTATAATTATGAACCGAGACTAATATAAAATAAAATTAAAGAGTAGGGGGGTTAATAAAAACTTTTGTAGAAAAAGTAATGTGAATACATTTATGTTTATATTTCATAACATTTAAAGTAAGTTGGTTTGACATTTGAGAATCTACCTTTACAAAGTAATGAAGTTTGTAATTTTGAATTTATAATTTGTAATTATATTTTTTTTAACAAGTGCCAGGTGGGTGGGTGGGTAGGGGGTATTTGTAAGTTTTTAAGAGTTTTTTTATCATTTTTAAAACTTTTGGGGGATAATGAATTTTTCAGGGTACCCAGAATCGTCGGTTCCGGTATCGGTTCCAAATTTCAAGGAACCGTCGGTTTCGGTTCCAGTTTCGGTTCTAATTCCGGTTCCAGTTCCGATTCCTTCAAAAAATGCAGGGTACCAGGAACCGAACACCCCTAGTTTATTTGATTAAGTGTCTTTGTTTACATTATGAGTCTATTGTTTTGACCGAGTCCATTGGAGTTTGTTATTAGTGGAATAATGCTTAAATTGATACTATTACAAGTCCTAGTCTATGGGCACTTATGCAGGAGTTAGTAGCTAGATATTTTCTTTATGCATATAGTTGTTTGGCATTTAGCTCTACAAATAGAGCAGTTTGCTTTTGAGTCATTGTAATTTGCAGTGAAGCAATAAATAAATCTTGTCTTTTGTCTCAAAAACTATTTGTCTTTTTCTCTTATTTTGTCGACATTTGGTACAACCAAGTTAAAACAAAAAGATAGTGTAAGGAGTTTGACAAAAAGTGAGAGAAGAAAGAACAAAGTGTGGTGTTTGCTAGTGAGGTTGAGAGAACAAAAAAAAAAGGGGCGAGTTTTGTGAGAACGAAAGGGCGTATTGCAGCAGCTTTATTTCTTTTCTCCTTCACTTTGTTTTATTTTTTGTAGTAGTGAACGATGGCCACCGAAAATTTTGTTCAACCGTCTGTTCCTCGCTTTGATGGTTATTATGATCATTGGAGCATGTTAATGGAGAACTTTCTAAGATTTAATGAGTATTGGCATGTCGTCTCTGAATGAATACGGTGCTAATAGATAGTACGACAATGACACAAGCACAAAGAACGGAGCTAGAAGGGCAACGGTTGAAAGATCTCAAGGCAAAGAATTATCTTTTCCAAGCAATTGATCGCTCAATCTTGGAAACCATTCTTTGCAAAGACACTTCGAAACATATTTGGGATTCCATGAAGAAGAAGTATCAAGGTTCTACAAGGGCAAAGAGGCAGTAGCTTCAAGCACTTCATACGGAGTTCCAAACACTTCGAATGAAGTCGGGAGAATCAATTATAGATTATTTCTCTCGAACAATGGCGATCGTGAACAAGATGCGGATCCACGGGGACAAGACAGAGGACGTGACCATAGTAGAGAATATTGTTCGATCTATGACACCAAAATTTAATTTTGTTGTTTGTTCCATAGAAGAATCTCATGATATTGATGACCTTTCAATTGACTAAATTACAAAGTTCTTTGTTGGTTCATGAGCATAAATTTAACCAGCAGGAGAAAGAGGAGCAAGCTTTGAAGACCTTAATAGAAAATCACTTGGCGACAAGAGGAGACAGAGGATGAGGTAGAGGTCGAGGCAGAGGCAAAGGAAACAATGATCGTGGAAATCAACAACAACAACAACACCAACACCAACACCAAGACAACCAATTTCAAGGAAGAGGCAGAAGACGAGCTGTCAACCACTCGACTACATATAAATTGAGGTTAGCAGACAAGTCCAATGTGGAGTGCTACAGATGTCATAGGTATGGCCACTACAAGTCTGAATGCTGAACTAATCTGAATAAACAAGGTGAAGAAAGAACTAACTTTGCAGAAAAAAAAAAAAGAGGTGTCTCTTTTGATGGTGTGTCACGTAATGGAAGAAACTCAACCAAACATGTGGTATTTAGACACTGGCTGCAACAACCACATGTGTAGAGATAAGAAGGCGTTCTCTGACCTGAACGAATCTTTTCGCAACACCGTTAAGTTTGGTGACAACTCCACGGTTTTTGTTATGGGAAAAGGAATTGTAACTATTCAAACTAAGGAAAATTCCACCCACACTATCTCTAATGTTCTTTTTGTCCTAGATCTAAAGACCAACTTGCTTAGTGTGGGTCAGCTGCAAGAGAAGGGGTATGAGATTTCTATCAAAGATGGAGTATGTCAAATTCAAGATGCAAAATTAGGCTTAATTGCTCAAGTTAACATGAAGACAAATCGTATGTTCCCGCTTTATCTCCACAACACCACTCATTCACGCTTCTCAACAAAACTGAACAATGTAGCATGGCTATGGCAGTTTCGCTATGGTCACCTATGTTTTGGTGGATTGAAGACTTTACAGCAGAAAAATATGGTGACTAGTCTTCCTCAAATTACTGCTCCATCTGAAGTTTGTGAAGAATGTGTTGTTAGCAAACAACACCGTAATCAATTTCTGCAAGGAAAATCATGAAGAGCAAAGAAGTAATTAGAGTTGGTTCATTTTGACCTTTGCGGGCCAATAAATCCATCTTCCAATGGAGGTAAAAGATACATGATCACCTTCATTGATGATTTTAGCCAAAAAACATGGGTGTATTTTTTACAGGAAAAGTCTGAAGCTTTTACAGCTTTTAAAAGCTACAAAGTTCTTGTTGAAAAAGAGTTGGCAGCCAAATAAAAGTTCTTCGTACTAATCGTGGTGGAGAATACAACTCATATGAATTTGCAAATTTCTATGAGACTCATGGAATTCAAAAGCAACTTACAACAACTTACACGTCGCAGTAGAATGGTGTTGCAGAAAGGAAGAATCGTACAATCTTGAACATGGTGTGGTCAATCTTGGCAAGGAGCGGGATTCCAAGAAGTTTTTGGCCAGAAGTTGTCAATTAGAGTATTCATGTTCTAAACAGAAGTCTCACCCTTGCAGTTCAAAATGTGACACCACAAGAAGCTTGGAGTGGACGTAAACCATCTCTCGAGCATTTCAAAATTTTTGGTTGTATAGCATATGCACATATTCCAGATCAAAAAAGAAGAAAACTTTATGACAAAGGAGAAAAATGCATTTTTCTTGGTGTTAGTGAGTAGTCAAAAGCGTACAAATTGTGCAATCCTATCACCAAGAAAATTGTCGTTAGTCGTGACGTAATTTTTGACGAAGAAAGATTCTGGACATGGAAAGAAAACAATGTCAAGCAACAAATACTGGCAGACTTTGATGGAGAAAATGAAAGGCAATAGCCCGTGGAGAATGGACAACCGATAGAAAACGAGCAACAACCAATTGCAGAAGA